AGTGAAATTTATTATACGTAAACAATATGAAATCGAAATTATATGTATCAAGTCTGAGTATTTTTCAAATATGTCCGCTAATTTATGTCCTTTTCGCCTCATTCTTTTTTATAATGCAAGAGAGAACAGAAGGTGAAAAGATATATGATAAAATATATATATGTGTGCGTTGGATAAATCATAACAGAAAGGAAAAAACGTCATGACACACTGTTAAAACATATGAATAATTTCATTATCATACTCTGATCGAAGATATGGATTATTCCACTATCTCACACTTACACAAAAAAACAGTATTGCAACAGTTCCCTGCGCTGGACAAGATAGAAAAGGCATTTTACTTCAATTTACTAGTAAATTATAGAATTTATTTCATTAATATTTGATGTAGTTGAATCAAAACTTCGATGAACACGGATAAAAGATTTATGCTGTGATATATTGACATAAGATTGTTTTCCTTTCTATAGATGGTGTTAGTATATATTTCACATATACATTTCTTTCGTGCTCTTGTATTCACTAGGAATATTCCAAAAAGGAATATACCTTCTCCAACAACATATTATCTTTTCGTCAGAAATGAATCATTGGTCAAACACTACTGATAATTTCAGTTCTTTTATATACGAACATTTTAATATTGCGTAACTCAAAGCGAAAGTTACTTGTTATTGCTATATACATTGTAACAAAAAACAATGGCAGAAACACATGAATTTTATTTTGATGACGATGGTATTAATTCAGAACGTATTGTAAATGATGAATATCAGGTGACTAATGAATTTTTTTGTACGATTTGTCAAAGTCTTCTGTGGAAACCAACATCATGCGGATCTTGTCATCATTTATTCTGTGATAAATGTATTCAAAAATGGAAGAGAATTAATTCACCTTCATGTCCTTTTTGCTGTACTCCATATGTAGAAAAACGTGTTCCACCATATATTCATTCTCTTTTGGGTCGTTTATCTATTCGTTGTCGAAATAGTTCATTTGGTTGTACAGAAATTTTATCATATAATTCATTAGAACAACATGAAACAAATGAATGCCAATATCCAACAAAACAATGTCACATATGTGGAAATTATATATTGACAGATGCTAGTGACCAACATCAATCATCTTGCATCCCAGCTTTAATTGAATGTCGTATATGTAAACATCTTGTAGATTCAGAATCATTTTCACAGCATACGAGTGAATGTTTTCGAGCAAGATTAGATGATTTCATAGATCGCATGACACCTATCAATACTCCAGCTGCTTTACCTCTACAAAAAAATAATGGAAACACGTTCGATCGGCTAACTGATCTTCCTCATCAGTGGTTCTCAAGCTGCACTAATTATATATTTCCTTCTGTGTTGTGGTTTTGCAACTATTTTAGAATTTTTTATTGTTTTGGCAATATTAATACAAGATCAAGTTTCAATTTCTATGTATCGATCATTTACCTTTATTATTTTGTTTACTGGATTATTTAATTTTAGTCTACCAATTTTCTTAGCTTCAACTACTGATACCGTAATCATTATATTTATCAGAGTTTGTTTACTATTATGCAGTCCTATAGGTTCAAAAATCCCATTGGATTATGTTCGAATACGATTCACTCATACATTAGTATGGATTATATATGTTATCATTTTTTTAATTTTGAAATTCTTTCTATTAATGGTACGCTTGTACTCTTGGTATATACCTTATTATATATCTGCGGGTGTTCACGCATGGATAGTTATTTGTTTAACATTTGATATTCGTCGTTTCTATACTGTTACATAATTAATTTAAACTCGATGTTTCAAAGTATTTATTCATGAATAATAGTATTTATTCCGGTAATTAATACTAATTAATATATCACACGTTTTTATATATGATTGTCTGTATATGTATTAATTATTAATAATATACTTTTTATGTACAATTCATAATTTGATAAATTTCATGTGTTATTATATTTTTCTTTTTTATAATAGATAACTTGATAGTAAGTAAATAAAGAAATAAATAAGTGCAGTTAACGATATGTTAAAGAAAATAAATTAATAATACAATTAGAATTTTCGACCTTGTAAGCTAGTAACGTTGCTCATCATCAGTAAATAATGTTGTAATCATACTATATCATCATAATCATAATAACATCATTAACCATCTACTATGTTATTACTATCAAGTTATCTACTATTTTAATTGACTTATTCACTTGCAGTACTTATTAAACTTGAATTATGTTTATGTTGATAATTAATTCTGTCTTATCATTATTATGTTATTATGATTATGATGAT